TGAGTTTGGTCCCCCTAGCATCTTGTTCTGGAACTGTAGGGCACTTTCTGGCGAAATGTTTAAAAGCCAATAAGTTCAGATAGGAAAAACGTATTTTCATCATTTTCGGTGTGTGGGTTACTGAAAAAGAGTTGTACATACTTAAATGCAGATTATGTAAATGAGGACCTAATTTGCATAATCAATGAGAAAATCCTATAATTACATTACTGTTTATATAATAGTACTTCTATACATGTAATCTATTTAATATGTGGCAGGCAAAACATCAATAGATACCAATAATGCAAATGATTACCTAATTTACATAATTAATGTGGAAATTCTGTGACTCTTTATTGGTGAATGATGGGACTTTTTATACCTTGTGACATGTGTAAGTTACTTTTAGCTTTAAAAAGGTTGATACCACTATGCACATATTATGTTAATGCGGAGGTCATTTACATAATCAATGAGGACATGTTGAAATGAAGTATGACAAAGTAGAGGAATTCTACAATATAAAAATATTGTCATTTGAATTTACATTAAGTAGATTATGCTAATTATGACCTTATTTCTATTGTCAATGAGACAAATAAAAAACATTTACAAAGACTTTATATTTCATGGAGGTATGAAATCTCTTGTTCATCTTGTTTTCACAACACTTGTGAATTTACTATGCGTAAAGTTTGTCTAATATCGTTGGAAGTTTAAGAAAGATTAACTATTATATATACAGTGTATACTGATAGTGATCGATATAGAATTACATGGCTAAAGAAAGAAACAAGCTTGAAAGGAAAGAATAATAAGAAGTCGAAATTTCATTTTACAAGCAGTTGTTGGAATGAGGTATTGTAAGTCTCTAGCAAGTCGCCATGTCGTATCTTCACCATCATTTCCCTACTGGTAATAAGCCACCTCACAGGGAACGGGGTGTGTGGTGAAGGTGAGAGATCAATTCAGGGCATGCAATACCAATAGGTTCTACTGCGGAATTCTATACAAATAAACCCCCCAAAAGGTGTCAAAAACTCACCTCTGGGATACAAAGTTCATGACAACTAACCTTGACAGAATAGTCCACCTCCTGAATTGTCCACAAGCCAGATTCTACCATTTTTAATACAGCTCTTTAAACTTTAAATGGCCACAAACAGACGGAAACATGACCTTTCACCTCTAATCTCCAGAAACCAACCTGATCACACCAATTGGGACTACTTTCCCAAGTGGTCCACAAAATTTTCTAATTCAAAGTTTTTGGGCCAACATCAGTGAGTATGAAGCCTTGTCTATCCCATCCACAAAAAACAAAAGGACACCAAATTTTCCAAGAAAAATGAAATTTTATTGCTCTCTCTATATATACCCGGTACTATATTCCACCCTACACGCATGCGCCAATAGAAATCCATGCCCTCAAGCACCCTAAAACAAAACGATATCCCGTGACCAGCACGTCCAGAGAATGGAAGATTTTGATTGCACGTTTAGGGCCTTAGAGAACTGTGCATCAAACTGCATATAAAATATGTAAGAGTTACCTTACTGCAAGTCGGCATTAAATGGATTAAGCGACGGTCACAACTCGCCGTGCGTGCTTTTTGTACGTACGTTTTTGTCGTGGCTACGTCTGCTACGTTTTTTCTGCAAACGTAGGGTGGCCGGCCGAGGGAGTACGTCACTCGCACGGTTGCGCAAGGTGTACGTACGTGGTCTGCACGACACGCCTGGCCGTCAGCGGTTGCGTGCATCGTACGTTGCGCAAGTGGTAAGTGAGTTGTACGTGCTTACAACGCACGATCTCTGTGCGATTGCTACGTTGCCGCGTACAGGCCGTACCTACACGTGCGGCGTACGCACGGTTTCCTTACTCACTCGCACGTTGTAAGTGCGTGCACCTCCTGTTAACTTCATCATCACTAGCCGCCCTGGTGTCTTCCGCGGCCCGTTTCTTTGGGTCTTGTCTGGTAGTCTTCTTCTGAGCCTTCCTGGGCATCTTGGAGACGAGTTGGCAGTTGCCCGTCAAGTTGTCTTTATATACTGTAGAGATCAGGTGCGTTGCACGTGCGTTGCACGTGCGGAGCACCTGGTATGGTGCACGTGTGTTCTGCGTGGTCATTGAGCAGGTCAACTGGGAAGTGAGGAGTAAGCACGGATGACGCAAGCACCGTGCGTGGCACGCACGTGCTTCGTGCGCTGTCCGTACAGCAATTGCACGTGAGAATAGTGAAGTTAGACTCACGGAGTCCGTACGTTGCACGCTCATAGGCTGTACGGGGCACGCGCGTCGCACGTACTCGCACGCACGGGTGGTAAATCCGCAGACCGCACGTAGAAAAAGTATTACATGCACTTAAAGTTCTACGGCGTGTCTGCGTGCTCCCAAATCCGTAGGATTCCGTACGGAGGTGGTACTCACCACGCACGGATGCCGTACGATTGCCCACGTTTTTGCACGTAGACAGCACGCAGAAGCACGTACGGCGAGTTGTGACCGTCGCTTTAAATAGATGCATCGTCAAGGCTACCACAGAAAGTGGATTAAGTTGCATTAACATGTATGGCTCTAAATGTATTAATCGTTGTAATCGTGATGCATTTATAAGATAAATTAAAAAGTGCACAGTGCAAGGGTTATGATTTTCGTTTTTTAATGAATGTTAATCTGTGATGGTAAAATCGTCGTAAAATTTAGTCCATGTAGCGTTACGCAAAGTTAAAGTGTTCACCAAAAATCTTTCCGTCCTCTAACCCTCGTCAGGTTGAAATGATCCGAACACTGAGTTATCTGGATGTGTGACGTCATGGGAGGGTAAATATGAAATCTGTTTTGGCGCCATCATAAGCCGCCATGGTCATAGGACCTTGAGAAAGGTCGGAGGACTTACCAGAAGCCTGTTCGTAATCAGCACATTACTGCTGTGTTAGGTTCCAGCGAATTTGCTGTCATTGATAAAATTTTATGCAGGTGTTATGATTTATTATCTTCAAAATACATTAGAAGGAACACAATCTTATATAAAAAAAAGCTTTTATACTTGATCGTGACAATGTTCAAAGAAACTATTATTATGTCAGAACCATCTTAAACTAAAATGTTATCTTAGACCTTTTGTCACATTTTTAGTGACAGTCCCATGTTTCATACAAACTTTTGTTACCATTTCGCAAATTTCTATATGTTTGAATGTAACAATGTTACCAACTGTAAGAAAAGGACACAATAACAAAACTGAACAAGAAGCCAAAGGCGACAATTCTCCGTGAAGTATTATATATTGCAACAAAAAGAAGTAGCCATTGGCGACAATTCTCTGTGAAGTGTGATAAATCGAACAAAGAAAAATTGTTTAAACGCGCGTCGGCTCAGTCATCTTAAGACGCAACAACCAATCAGAGATGCGAAATGCCGACACGTGACGCGGGATTTTCATACAGTCTAAACAACGGAGAAGGGCGCGCGATGCCCGAAATATTTTTGCGTCAATATTCAGCGCCGTGTTTCAAGAGATTAATACCGGGAAACAATTTCTTTTCTTGTTTTGAACGCATTAACATGCATTTACGCTAATCTAGTATGATTCAGGGTTACTTTTTTTTTACCTGCCATGTCCAGATTATCTAAAGATGTGTGTATTGTGTGTACAATCTACAGAAAGAGAAATGTACATCAGGTCCGATCATCCGATTTTCACGTTTCGGTTTTTTGGACTCGGTTCATGAACGTATTTTGGTTTGGCTCCTGGAATGTGCTCCCGGGACTGTCTACAGGGAACACTCGCACATTCGCGGTGTATCAGGACAGCGCGACTGGTAGGCATTAGCGCAGTCCCTGCAATTAGTAACAGTTGCACATCAATCCGGCCGAAAGCATGATTGTGTAACACAGGCTACTTCTTCCTATACCGGCTCATACTACAAGACGCCTTTACAACTAGCAAATCATAAAATTACCCGATCTACTAGTATGTGCGGTTTACCAGCCCCAGACCACATCCGACCACGAGGCAGAACACATTGATGGGTTGCTCAAAAATATTGTCCATGCTTACAAAGAGCTGCTCCACTAACACTATGGAGCGGCCCAACCCAAAAATATTGGCCATGTATACACAGAAGCGGCCAGCATGCTCGTTGCTAGGACGACCGGCCAGTTGCTACGTGACTAAATACACGCCGCCACTAGGTCGCCACAGCCGACCAGTTCGAAATCGATAGGATTACGTCATCGGTATTTACATTTCGTAATGCTGACCACTGACCACCCCACATTTCCACCCCCATCAGCCTGACCGCGACTTACAACTACCGGTCTCATAAACGGACGAAAACATTTCAGCGACATGGGGATGTTTCGAAAATAAGCATTTACTCCAATATCAAAACAGCTACGGTAAAAATAAAAAGACGTGCATCATCCCGAACATAATGCGACACCACATGCGAAATTACACAGAAATGCGACGTACGGAAGAATGCGTTTTGGCTGCGAACATCTTCCAAAAAACTTGGCATCTCTTAACCATGGGCAAAAACATCTGGAACCACTTATAAAAACCACCCCGTATCTGCATGAACTTTTACCCCCCCCCCCACTGCTATTCCAAAACAACGCGTTTTTCTGGACCATTCCAATTCGCCTCGTAATTGTAGGGGTGCGTCTGCAATATTACATTGACCGCGAAAGCAGCAAAGGCAAAAATACACATTCGTGCATCAACACGGGCATGCCCGCAGACGGCGTATAAAATTGCGTGCCGATTACACAAAGAGAACCCAGTGTTTTGACTGCGAACACGAAAAATCAGCCGATCACAACACTCCGTCCGGAGGTCCTGACCTCCTTCACGGAGTAATAACAGGCCATGTCAAAGGTTTAAGTAGAACTAGAAACTATTAGTTTTAAAAGTCATTCCATTTACTCTTGAGCAATTTTGAGTTGAACGAAATGAAACATTAAACACTAAGAATGAATTATACAATATAGTTACCGATCTTACAGCAATTTAATAGTTTGTCAAAATGGTCACTTTCTTTTTTGAGGCCTCAGCCAGGACTAACTGTCCGTCTGCACCAAGGGCAATGCTCAGAGGGTCAATATCAGTAGCGATGTGCCGGATAAATGTCCCGCGGCTTGTGAACAGCTCAATCCGCCTGTTTCCGGAGTCAGCCACGATGATGTGACGAGAACTGTCCGTACAGATGTCAAGGGGGAGGCTCAACTGACCGTCGTTGGTTCCCTTCCCTGCAAACTTGAACAAGAACTGTCCATTGTCGCGATACACGTAGATGTAGGCAGTGGAGGAGTCCGCCACTAGGATAGAGTCCTCGCTGTCCACTGTGATGCCTGTCGGGTACATCAAACCTTGCCGCCACCCAAAACGTCGCTCGAGCATTCCGTTCAACATGAAAACCTTTACCATCCCGCGATGCTTGTCCGTCTCTGTCACAATGGCGCGATTGGACAATCTGTTTAGGGCAAGTCTACGAGGTTCCGAGATGGGAGGAATTGCAAAACCGGTTTTAAAACGTCCACCGCAATCATACTGCGCGACATAGTGGGTCAGTTTATTTCCACCCACAATCCAAACGTCGTTGTTGGCGAGGGTACCAAAAGAAACATCGTGGGGGAAAATGGGAATCGTCTTTTCATGTCGTTCTTCAATTTTTATTATATCTGTTAAGAAATTCACGGTAATGATACCCTCTGTGTCATAGACGCTGACTCTACGGCCTCTAAACATAACGACAATCTTCCCACTTGTAGACACAGTGACTTTGCGTGGATGCCCCTCGACATCAAAGGATTTTGTAGCCTTGACTGGTTTGAAGAGAATAGAAAGATCGATTAATTGGTAAATCACTGCAATCTTTATTAGAAGCCTGGACGTTCCGGTTTTGTAGGGTTGGCTCGTTCTGATGTTTTTGGGTGAATAGAGCACCTCAAAATGCAATAAATGGGTGTCAGCTATCCAAGACATAAAACACTTTTATTATTGTTTGTTCTTGGTACTGCATGCAGCAGAATTTCCGGGATATGGATCTCATGATCTCGTCACGAATTTATTCCGACGTCAAAAGCACTATGTCATTAGTAAAAGAGATAAGAAACAACCAACTTTTTTTAAACAACTAAGAACTGTTTATATTCCTTTAATTACGATGCTAAAGTTAATTGTGAAAATATGTCATAAGCTCCTGTTGAGACTTTGCACTTCCCTAAATGAGTTTAAAGGGTTTAAGGTAAACAGCTAAAAGCATTCTGAGAAATAGCAATCATGAGCAATCATGCCATGACTGTGATAGACTATTAACATACTACAGTATAACAACTTTACATAGGCGATATGATAGTCTTACCTCTAGTGATTTCTGTCTGTATTGTGGTTGTTGACATGCGATTCTTAGAGCCGGAGTTTGACGAAGCCTTTGGTAAAAAAAGGGATAGACACTGTGTCTGTAACAGTAGTCTCACTGTACAGGCTCACTTTAAATTATTTATTAATATAGATATATAGATATATAGATAGATTAATATAGATGAAGATAATAATTATATCAAATGAGCAAAGTTATTTACAATTAGCAAAGTCATGTGCGTACCTCGTCGATTTCGGTTGTACTTGAATCTGCCGTTGTCCCAGACTTTGGAACATCAAATAAAGTTCTCCAAAGCCATGTAGTAGTTGACTGAGTGATATCTTGCCCTGAATGTGACTATAAGAAACGATATCCAAAATCGCAGACGTCACTATTATGTCTACATACAGACTTTACACGCTGGATATGGGCATATGAACAACATCGATTTCTTAGTACCGTAATCTTCCGTTTCGGAAAGTGCTTTGCTGTTTTCAACATAACAGAATGAATGCAAAATAGCAGCCACCGAAAGTCGTCAAAAAATAAAGTTGCCATTTGTAAGAAAACTGTTGAATCAATCTACAAACATGATAGAAAATATTTAGGGAAGTCCGTTTGCAACTATCGATGTTGTAACAATGATTTTGTAGTGTGTTGCTGGTGCAATAAGTAGGAACAGATGCAGAGAGATTTTCTGTATTCACTTAGAAAGAAGCCCAGATGATGACAAAAGAGCAGAGTTTCCAAAAGATTCCAACAGAGTCATCTAATTTTCAATTAGTTTATATTAATATATTGGATGCGCTTTTTTTAAAGACATATGACTAGTCTATGTTATGTTAAAGCGGAAGCAAGGACTACATTGGTAAACTTACTGCGTAATTATCCACGTCAGGAGGAATTACCCCCGTCACCAGCAACAGTCCAACGACGATCAAGGTGGCGACAAAGATGGCGGTTGCCACAACTTTGATATGCCGAAGCCAGCAGACCAACATGGTTGCTAAATAGATTTACCTCGCAACGTTACACTTGGTATATCATTTTACATGCATGTATCCAGTTATGTTTTCTGCCGCAATACATGTAGGTCATTATAAGCTTTCTACTTGTAGAATAAACAGAAATACAACAATAAAGGATTTGGTCTCCTTTTGTCTAGAAATACTAGTAAGTGAAAACTACCCAGTATTATGACAGGAAAAGGGGCATGAAATACGTGCATTTGCTATAAAACTACATATATTAGGGAAGTATAGTTTACCTCTATGTTCTTCATGTTGTGAAGTGCTTTTCATGGGCTCGGTTGTTTTGGATGGATCTAGAACATGTGTGGCGGAATCCGAACCTCTCTCTTCTTTTACATTTTGTCTACCCGCTACCGATGTGTTGTCGATGTAGGTATAGTAGTGATCTGTTGGGTCTTGCGAAATATCATGGTTGTCCTTGGATTGAGTTGACTCTCCATCTTGTAAAGTGTCTTCATGGATGCTGTTGGACCTTCTTTTTGACGTTTCTGTAGAACATAAACGCTTGAAATTGCATCATGGCGCAATGTATTTTCGACAAAAATGTTTTATCAGAACTAGAGTCTCGTGACCTCATACCTTTAACTAAATGGTGTTAACCTTTCCAATAACGTATTCTAAAGGGTTTGTTTTTGGTATTCAAATTAGGTCGTCATTTGCATAAGTTATACCAAATAATGATATTCTCCACCAAAACAACATGTTGTCCAAAGTATCAAATCGCATATTAGCCAAAAGGTTATTGTACAATTATTCAATTAATAAAAAATCATTCTTTGGGCTCATTATGTACACCTGTGTTGTCGTCATTTACCACTACTTAATTATACATTTTTATAGAGCAAGGAATGGACAGGTTATTAAAGCGAAAACAATTTTCAAAGATAAAAATATGAATAAAAAATAAGACACAGTCAAGAAAAGTTTAACGCTAATATGTCAGTTTCTATTGTTTGAGTACAGACAAATCATTTCTTAAAGGATCTTCAAAGCGCCTGGACATGTCGGTGTGATCTTCACTCAACGATGCCTCCTTTTCATTCTGACCCGGGCCACTGGCACTTTCACAGTGGGTGATTTCGAAGTGGTAAGAAACAAGGTATGGCTCGATGTTGCCATCGTCTGTTCCATCTACTAAATAGAAAATCAATATCTATTTGGGTGCAGTATGTAAACTGTTAGTTGTATTTCCTAAAAACTCTCACGCTATTGAATGTATATATTGAATTAATTGTATTTGGCAAGCTCGCTGCAACACTGAGGCCAAATTCCAACTCATGAAATAACCCAGTATGTGATTTAAGTGTATGCATTGCATATTACCACATTTTTTTGTAAAATAATACAATGGCAATCTGAACTTTTTCAATAAAATTATACATTTTAAATCTCACCTTTCAAGAAAGAAGCACCATGATACCCTGGCTCCTGTTGAGACGACGCGATCTCCCCGGGATGTTCTGCATCCAGATTCCCCAGGTGATAAGCAGTGAGATATGGCTCGATGAAGCCGTCCCCATATTCATCTGTCTGTGTGGAGCAGTGAGAATTCTCCGTTTCTTCCACGCTATCGTCTGGGACGTGAGTGTCTTCACCATTAGACGAGCCTTCTACTACAGACATCGTGGCAGATTTGCGACCTCTTACTACGACGTTTTGTTGTTTAATCTGCGGTTTCTACTTTTTAGAAGATGTAATGCTAACCTTCTACCCCCCTTCTCTGCTTTATACCAGTCAAAACAACGTATCACTTTAGAATGCTCTAAAGTTAAAGCTTTTCGCCCCAATATATTGAATAGTCTACTGTTCTATTTAATGGTAGCTGATATATGAACATATATAACACTGAAAGCAGGCCAATTGCATTCACAAATCTTATATAAGTATATGAATTGCGTCTAGACGCATGAAGCATGATGTTATTGTCTGCAATGTAAAATTGGATATAGATTATTTTTGCGAATTGCAAATACTACGTTTATTCAACAAGAGAGACGTATTTAGATGGACCGAAAATGGGTTAGGATCTAGCCATTGTATCTTGAAATTAGGCTGACTCATCATCTTAACATCTACGACAAGTACACTTTTTAAACTGTAAAATCATTTTTACTTTGTTGTGTAGAAATATGGCCTTTCTGAGCAAAATTTGGACGAAATATTAAAAAAAAAGTTCCAAAAATATGTCGTGGGTGTACAATTACAAAATTCCTTTTCTGATAGAGAGTACAGTTCGGGTGCGGCATCTGTATATTTTGATGCCCACAGCATAAAAGCAGGTGTTTGACCCATAAGTGAGGGGCATTCTTTTCCCCTGACGTGACACATTAGCTGGAGCTTGGCGCAAGCTTAGTCACCGTCAACAGAACCCGTTCTACTGTTCAACCATGAAGACAGTCTTGTCCCGTTGAAAGACTGTTTACTGTCAACAGAGCCAAGCTGGTGGTTATGTATCAACACGTCAGCATGATGTGGACTATGTGTGAACTCTGGGGTGGGGGTGGGGGCAAACTTTGACCACATTTTCTGAACTCTCAGTTTAGTACATATTAGACACATTAAATATTTTGTAGCTAGACCGTTCACCAGTTAGAAGCCAATTACGGGGCCAACACACGGCTTAAAGATAATACTTAACAAAGGTACCGACCTGTCTAAGGTGTTGAAAGCTAGCCCCACACGTCAACAGACTAAATGTTAATCGTCCTACTCTCCTACGCACAATGGTTTTCTATGTAAGTGTACGGAGGTCTCAGTTTGTCTGTGTGTTTGCTTGTGCCTCCTTAGTTATTTTCTGATGCTAGGCACGTCGGACTTAAAGGTTCCACAAATAGTTCTGTATGGGAATCACTGGGAATAATGCATTGACAGAATCAGTGAGAAATTTACAAAAACTCTAAATATTTCACGAAGGTATGAGATCGACGATTTCTTGTTATCTGGTTTCCTCTTCGAAAAAAAAACAAGTCGGCCACAGGTGTTTGATGATGCGATTCACAAAGTCTGGCCTAAAAAAACTGCCAACACCACTTGTTCTGCCTAATCCCAGTGAAAGGCACGGGTATGCTCGTGTCAACAGCGGGACGAGGAACAAAATAACTTGTAAACATTCATGCAGAACGCGAGGCAAACCCGGGCTTACTTTGGAAATTAATTTAGCTTAAATGTAAAATTCTGCTTGGACATTTCTGATTTTCATGTAGCAGTGGGTCACACCTAGGCTGTATAAACGGTCGATTTTCAGGTTACTTGGTGCAATGGTGTATATTTGGTAGGCACTGGGGCGTAAACATGCCCCTGGTAGGTTACCAATGAGAAGAACTGACAAACATAAACAATGACCTTTCCCGTGACGACACAGGGAAGTAGCTTCGAGTAAGAGTCGTTTCCTCGGCACCTGAAGAGCGACAGGGACGGTTACCGCTCGTATTCACTCAAATGTACTATTTCGCGACATATCTGCACGTAAAGACGTGAATTGGGGACCAAAAGTAGCATGAAGACCGCCCGGGAAGTCCCGGTGGGCTACGAGCGCCACGGGCTGACGGTTGTCTTCCTTCTGGTCTGCCTTACACCAACTATAACAGGTGAGTGTGGTTTTAGTTTCCTTGTTGATCGCTCAGTGTATAGGCGCCCAAAACAAGTATCGCAAAAAACATTCCCTATTCAAATTAAGTTGTTATCCAAGCCTACTCAGCTAGCTATACGTATCCTATCATTCCTACATTGTAGGTAAGATATGTACAGGTTCATGCAATTTATATATAGTAGATAGGAAATGTTTTAGGTTTTCAGAATTCAATGCAGATCTCTGACAGTGCTATTGGCTGTGACGCAGATAGCTGGTTTCTAGTAGCTAATACAGGTGCTCTCTTTCTCTCAGTCTCTCTCAGTCTCTCTCAGTCTCTCTCTCTCTCTCTCTGTCCCTAGTTCCTTTCTATATGTTTTCGATCGACCTCGAGGCGTGCTGGAGACGAAGCATAACCTCTTGTTCGATAGTAAGCAAAACACGGCTTCCCTGTTGCTCTTTTTTAGAACTTTGTAACTAATATAGTTAAGTCTTATTTCCCATGCCAACGGCTACATCTATGTAGCGAACCTCCCTCATCTAACACTGTATGGCACCGCTTTGGCTTCTGTTCCTTCTGTTATATACTAAGCGTCCATATATAACCTACAACTTGTCAGATGATACTTCCATTCGTAATGCAACAAGAAAACTCTACACCAAAGCTAAGTCTTAAGGCCGTAAATTCAGCAATTCTGCAACAGAGGTGAACCGCACCCTTTTATGTCCCATTGTTCATCTATCTGTTGTTCGCAGCTGTGGTTTAGACAGTGTTGGTGTGCTGCAACGTTTTTAGGTAGCATACCATGACGCTCTCAAAATGCTAATGAACCAGCCTAGGTGGTGTAGCAAGTCTGTTAGCATTACGTATCGACACCTTCGACGACAGGTGGCGCAAACTCTCCAATCCATTTGTCACGCAAGCAACTTCTCGCATCGAGAAGCAGCACTGTGTACACCGTTTGCGATTCAGATGTGTTTATTCGAAGCCTGTACTGGCCGCACTTTTTACCTTCGCCAAGAAGGTTATGTTTTCAGTATCGTTTGTCTGTGTGTGTGTGTGTGTGTGTGTGTGTGTGTGTGTGTGTGTGTGGTTTAGCAAGATAACTCGAGAAGCAGTGGATGGATTGGAATGAAACTTGGTAGGTAAGTAGGTCTTCATGAGGCCTAGAAATGACTAGATTTTGGCTACCTGGCGGTTTTTCTAAGTACTGCAGCTAAACTTCCGGTTTTGATATCTCATGTTTATTATTGTTTATTGTCAGTTTGCACATAAAAAGTAACAGTATAAAATGAAATTATATACAAGCAAATATATGCTGGAGAGCCCAAGAAACCTGAAGGTTTGTCTAGTGGACTCTCACAAATCCTATTAATTTTACGATCTCCCTCTTATTTACATACATTTATTACATTTACATTTAACTTGCAATGTATTAAGGGACAAGCAAACAAATTAACTCAAAATAGGTACAAGATAATATAAAGTTAACACGGCGAATCAAATATCTAAACAATAAAGTAAGACAATCAAGAACAAATCATATTGAACAAAAACAATAAATTTCCATTAGTCAAATCATAAGTTGTTATGAGTAAGAACAACATAAGAAACCAATATTAACACAAAGAAAATATCATAGCATAAGAAAACAAGGAAAACAAAAGCAAATCAGGAAGTGGTAGTTGGCTTCTCTATCAGGTCAGTTTATAAATGTCTTTTGAAAGTTGGAAGGGATTGACAATTTTGCTGTGAGTGACTTAAACTGTTCCAAATTAAGGGGCCTCTAAACATTATCGTGAACTGTTTCATATTTGACTTTGTCAGGATTGGCCTTAAATCATTTTGCTTTCTAGTACTGTAACTGTGGATATCTGAGTTGTATTTAAATATGTCCTGAAATTGAACTGGTAATTGTGAACTTTTATGTAAAACTCTATGGACAAAAATTGCTGTTTGGAGTTTATTAATGTCATACACTGTTAAAATTTTCAAGTTGTAAAATAGAACCGCAGAGTTAGCAAAAAATGGAACATTAGACGCGATCCTAACAAAGCGCTTCTGCAGCTGATGCAGCGGACGGATTGAAGTAGTGTACGTACTAGCCCAGACTATATTACAGTATGTTAAGTAGGGATAAATCAAAGTATAGTACAGAGTGATAAATATTTTACGTGATAGGCAACTTGCAACTTTTCTTATTATACCAATATTCTTATAGATTTGTTTACAAATAAGGTCAATATGGAACTTCCATGTGAGTTTCTCATCAATAAGGACTCCTAGAAATCGTGTGTTACATACCTGTTTGATTAGTTTATTGTCTATGTATATCATAGCCCTTTCTTTGTCGTATTTCTTATTTCTACCTGTGAAGATAATGAAGTTCGTTTTATCTATGTTAAGAGACAGCTAATTTGACTTAAACCATTCGTTTAGTTTACACAGCTCTTCATTAACGGTTGTTATTAGTGTATGAAAATTATTGTGAGAAAAGAAAAGATTAGTATCATCGGCAAATAATAGAGCGAAGAGTTTGACTGATACCAGGGCAAGGTCGTTAACATAAATTAAGAACAAAAGAGGACCGAGTATAGATCCTTGTGGGACTCCGCATGTTACTGATTTCAGGGATGAAGTGAAGTTATTACTCGAAACATACTGCATTCTATCGGACAAATAATCTTTTAACCATTGAAGGGCTGTACCTTTAAAGCCGTAGGAGTTTAGTTTGCTAAGTAATATGTTATGGTCCACGGTATCGAAAGCTTTCGATAAATCGAGAAAAATACCAATACTGAATTGGTATTGATGGAATGTTCTAGACATGCTAGGCTTATTTACAAAATCAATGATTAAAATTGTATAATTCGTCACCCGCAAGGGTTAACATCATATGGCGAAGGTATGAGATCGTGGAACTCTTGTTAAACCTTTGTATGTAATTTGTCTACGTGTATTTGTACATTTGTTATTGTTCCTTTTTTATATGGTCTGAAACAAAGAATAAAAAAAAGCTGCAGAAATTCTAAGGTAATAATCTTGACTAGAAGTTACATGCTATTGTGCGCATTATAAATTATGTTTATTGTGCATGCATACCCCTGGTCCAAAAATTAAAGAATTTAGATATCTTATTCAGAACCGTGCCTATCTAGTTCCATGCCCTAATAGTTTAGGGTTTAGATCAGGCACGGTTCTGGATCGGATGGCATCTGCGCATTATTTGCCCGAGGCACGTTTTCTGGACAGTTCTAGACAAAGAACTAATGTTAACTCCTATATTTTATATGTAAGTAATCTATTACGTTGTTTTGTTCTTTTCTACCATCTCCTTGTAGTTATGAGTTAGAATTTTGGATAGAAATATCTTTTAATCTGTAGTGGTTGAAAATGTCAGGGATTGTTAAGGATACCATTTGTAAAAAAAAAGGCAGGATGGCTAAGATACCAGAATGCTTCTCTCGCTCAGTTTCTTTTTTTCAATGCATGCATATATGTCTATATTTTAAAAGAAAATTTTCGAAAAAAGGACAACTAAAATGAGAAAATAGAATACATTCTAAACTGTTTAATAAACACTTTATATGTTTCTTCAGGTGTAGTAGACGTCACCATCGTCAGTAAGTACCAGTTCTTTGATGAGTCCGATGACACCTGGCTGTACTGTTACTACACGGGTAGTCTCATCAACCAGAATGGGTACCAGTTCGGTGTAGAGGTTGATACTGGCTCAGGAACGGGATTTGCAGGATGGAGAAGCACTTTAAAATTAACAGGACGTTATAGTGTTAGGATATGGGCTGAAGGTGGTAACACCCGGGTCGGGGCATTCTCCTGTCACGTAAACACCCCAGACAGCAGTCAAACAGAAAAGTCTGTCACCTTTAAAATGAAATCACAGGGTGAGTACACAACTTTTTACTGAATATATCTGCATGTCTTTACATCACCCAGAAAAAGTGTACACGATTTGAATCATTCTTTATTTATTTATTATCTCAAATCGACCATCTCGCTTTTCATCAATGATTATACCTTACATAATCTTTCAGCCGATGTCTGGCCTGTGGCCTTCACAGTAACCGCCAGCCTAGGAGACCCCGTGATGCTACAGATGGTGCAGAGGTCCAATAGGACCGGTATCATTGTGTGGAGGAAGGGCGGAGTCGGGGGGACTGTCCTAACCGGACAGAACGGACTCAGCCTGACCATAGCCAGTGTCCAGTCTTCAGATGAGGGGATCTATGAGTGCTACTATCAGGGGGACACTGATAGAAAACAGGGCATCATGAGGCTCATTGTCAGAGGTAATGTAACATGTTTTATCATTTAAATGTTCACGTGAGTTCAAGGCCATACGCTAGAACTTATCAAATGCTAGAACTGTTGTCATTGTATTCCATTTATACGTGTTGATTCGTGTCCACATTCTCACAGAAATGTCGAAAAGTTAAACAGTTCTCTAACTTGATAATTTGACATACCTGGATTGTCTTAATCGGCTCATCATCATCATATCTTGTCGGCCCACTGCTCCAGCCAGTCCAGAGCTTCCTGGTTTGCATCGTACAGGTCTCGTTTGGTGACAGATTTTTAAATTTTTTTAAATTTTTTTTTCAAACTTTATTATTCACATACGATACATAAAATAGTTAACATACAACGGTACATAATAATACATAAAAAGTGTTTGTGTGTGTGTGTGTGTGTGTGTGTGTGTGTGTGTGAACACGATAACTCAGGAAGACTAAAATGGATTGTCCTGATATTTAGTAGGTGGATAGGTCTTCATGAGACGTGAAACTGATTAGATTTTGGGGCCCCTAGCGTCTTGTTATGGTACTGCAGCTGAACTTCCGGTTTTGATATCTCGTGATCTAGACATGCTAGGGTAACTAAATTTGGATGGTAGGTAGCTCTTGTGCTGGGGAAGAAGTGACGTGAATTTAGACCCCCTAGCTGCTTGCTCTGGAACTGAAGGGGCCTTGAAAAATGTTTAAAGTCGGATAACTCAAGAACCGATTGATGGATCGTCGTGATGTTTGGCATGTAGGTAGCTGATGTGATGCTTAACATAATAATATTACAATTATGCAAATATCAATGTAATTTGTATGATTAATGAGGAAAATCTATAAATCAGCTGCATTCCATGATAGGACTATTCAAGCTTGTGTCATGTACATGTAATTAAGAACGGCAGAAATACAGGCAGATATCAATTATGCAAATGAGGACTTAATTTGCAGAATTATTGAGAAAATGTTATAATTACATAGTGGTAACTGCCTGGAATTTCATACTTGGGATATTTGAAATCCATGTCAAGGTGAACATAATTAAACCTAACTTTTATAAAGAACTTTTTTTAATTTATAAAGAAATGCTATAATGGCATTCTTTGATAAGATAAGACTGTCTTCTGGTGTAGAATATGATCAACAGATATGATTGATGCAATATATGGTCCTATTTGCACAATCAGGGGGATTAATCTATAATTTATTAGTTATAAATTATGGCTAACATCATTTGGCAAAGGTATTAGATCGTGGAACTCTAGTTTAGTCTGTTTCTGAAATTTGTGAAGTTTGGTTTGTAATGTTTGATGAAACATGTGTAAATACAATATTGAGCGATAAGACTACAGTGTGCAAGTGCATTGTCATGGTGAGGGTTGTCAATTATACCGTAAATAATCATCTTCTCGTCTACAATTAGGTCTTGCTTGGTACATCTTTTTCACCAGTAACAGAACGTTTCCCAATTTTTTTAGCTTCTATACAATAAACTAAAAGTGTCAGAGAAGTCAAAGTATTTTGCTACCTTCGTGCCTTTATCTATGCCTTAGTTCACTCACTCACAAGACACGTATACTTTGGTACCAAAAACATTGACTTTTATGGTATCTGGTATTTATATCGTAGCTGTACTGTCGGTCTCAGAAGACTATTACTTTAAGCGCAAAAATCGGATTGTACAGTTTTTTTAATCAAATTCAATATCCACAATTACTTTAATGTAATAATTGTTCTTTTTTGCCCTCACTCAGGTTGTGCTAAGAACAAGTGGGGCCCTCCCTCCTGTACCGCTGACTGTCCAGTGTGCTACAACGGCGGTGTGTGTGACGACAACACGGGGGAATGTGTCTGTCCTCCGGGGTTCCATGGACACAACTGTGAAAGCGGTAAGTGTTACATTTGACATTACGTCTTCAATTAATAACACGCTTTATGTTAAGGAACGATTTTTGGCCCGTTCGTGTCACATAAGATTCAAAGTTGCTCAAAATGGCTTTAAAAGGTTATTGAAGAATGGCTCAAAAAGGTTTTGAAGTATAGATTCTGACATTAGCTCATGGTTTGAAGATATCAAATGGCAATAACGGATGATGTGTACCACAGACAAAATTTTCTACAGCAATGCTCCTTTATATACTTTAAGCATGTGTGAATGGCAAGATCGGTACAAGCTGCACGAGAGAGTGTGACGGTGGAGACTGTACCGGTCAGCTGCTGTGTGTGATGGACCCGTACGGCTGTTCCTGCGCTCCTGGACTCATGGGCATAGAGTGTGATACTGGTGAGACTACATAGTAACTCATTTCAAGCTGTGATGATTGATATATTAAGTTTTAATATTTGTCTAATAAGCATGCTTGGGTGTCCGAAAATGTGATTGTTGTCTAGCTTTTTTACTCATGTTTGTCCGAATGAAGTTGGACCTATTATAACACTGTACGTTATTAATGAACGTCCAATTCCCATCTTTAGAGTGTCCAGACGGCTTGTACGGAGCTGGCTGCACCCAAACCTGTCACTGTGCAGCCGGGCCAACAGCCTGTAACAAGACGACTGGATTCTGTACCGGGGGGTGTCTGGCATTATGGACTGGCGACTCCTGTCAGATCCTTAGAGGTACTGATGAAATTAACATTAACGATGTTAGGGTATAACATACACGTGCATAAGGAACTTGGTTGAATAAACGTTTGGAGTTTCATTTTGCAAAGACGAGATTGTTTTTTTTTTTATTTTTTTTGTGCTCAGCCTGGATTTAGAATGTCGCAATTTTTCTTCTTTAGCGACTGTATCATACGAGGATCTCTTTACCAAGGAGGAAGGTCACTTTTTCGGTGATTCGTCGGACCACATAACAGCGTACGACAACATAGACACAGAAGAGTGTGCCCGCCGCTGTCTGCAAGGTATCGGCAGCTATGATGGCGTCAACCCGACATGTCTGTCCTTCAACCATCGCCCCGCCGGATCGCCAGAGGGCGGCAGTGCACGGTGTTGGCTCAGTAGTTCTGACAAGGACACGGCGGCATCTCCTGGTCCCGAGTGGGACAGTTGGTCTTACCGAAATTACTACCAGAGGAAACGTAAGTATGTTAATCAAACTTCAGGTAACATTATTGCCTCAATATACGGATTCAGAACTTTTATCATCGGTGCATTTATCTCCGTGTTTAGTAAAGTATCCGTACTGGGCTCAAGGACAACACTGATAGGAAATAACTAAGGTCAAAGGTCCTAAGAAATATTATGCTAGTTCCTGACAATTTTTCTGCTACATGCATGTTTTTTTTGGGGGGGGAGCCAGTATGGAAAATGCATAAACAGTATCAGGGAGAAAATCACGCGTGTGAGATATTCAATACCATAGGCCCTTATTCTCCATTATTTCCAGACATCCTGGCACCCCGAGATTGTACCGACGCGTTCGCACTCGGGATTCGGCACAGTCTTGTTTACACCATCGGCCACCCACAACCATTCCAAGCCTACTGTGACATGGACACTGATGGCGGTGGGTGGACGGTCATACAGCGGCGACAGGACGGGTCTGTGCCGTTTGACAAGACTTGGACTGAGTACGAGCAGGGATTCGGCATCACTAGTGGAGAATACTGGCTGGGATTGGGGAACATCCACAGTCTGACAACACAGAAACAAAACGAGCTGTACGTGTACTTGGAAGACTGGGAAATGAACAGCCGGTTTGCGCGGTACAGCACGTTTTCTGTGGGAAACACCAGCAGTAAGTTTACGGCAACGATCAGTGGGTACAGCGGGGATGCAACTGATAGTTTGGACCCGTCCATTCAAAATGGACGTCACAGCATCAACAACAGACGATTTTCTACAACAGACCAAGATAACGACGGTATTAGTACCGACTGTGCGGGTACATATGGACAAGGAGGCTGGTGGTACACTCCGAGCTGTGGTTATTCCATATTGAACGGACAGTATCTGACAGGCTGCTCAGTACCTGCTCCACCCTCCTGTCCCACTGCAGATGGAATTATCTGGTACACTTGGTTGGGTTACGAATATTCCTTGAAGAAAACAGTCATGATGATCAGACCAGCTGATTTTTCCGGTAGGCATTTAAGTCATAACTAAACACTTCTCATCCTCAATTTTCCTTTATACATGAAAGGGTAAAAATAAATCAAAAGAATGCTGTTGTTAACAACGAGTATTATAACAGTGCCATTGTCTGCCACACTACTTTGCTCTACAGCATCATCGTTTAGACCATGTGAGAATGGGGGAACCCTGACATCTGGACCGGAGGATTCCGGACTGTTCATCTGTGCATGTCCTGCAGGGTCGAATGGCACGTTTTGTGATCAGGGTAATGAAATGCTACATGTTTAAATACAATATACATATGCGTGCAACATTCATTATGTGAATAAGTTGAACGAAAGTTTTTCTTATCGTAAACGTGATAATTAGGCCACATTGCACCTGTGCCTGTACGATGTGTACTGGGTATACGTAAGCCAAGGTTTGCAGGACACCGACTGTTGTCATGATTAACGACAAAATATCCCGTGCAGTAGCTACCGGTTTTTCCAATTATAACTTAAGCAGTGCAGAGCGTTGTAGTCGTAAAAGTTGATTGTTGAGAGACACAGCATGGTTCAGACTGAGGTACATATTATGACTATGAGACAAAGAAGAATATTAGGTATTTGTGTGTGACGTTGAAAGCCTGTCTTTTCCCGCTTTAGCCTGCCCCTCTGGTGAGTTTGGACCCGACTGTACCGGTACCTGTCACTGTGCGGGCGGAGATTCCGTGTGTGACATCCGGACTGGTGTCTGCTCTAGTGGAGGGTGTGAGGCCGGGTGGAAGGGAAGCAATTGTCAAACAGGTGATTACGTTATTTTGTCACATTGTTTTCTGGCAGCTAGTAAATGAAGAGAGACAAGGCTTGAGTTAAAACTTTTTCAATCTTTGGATAATATTATTTAACAGGTTAATAAAATGAGTTGTTACTTTTTAACAGTGTGCTTACCTGGAGAGTTTGGGCCCGACTGTACCGGCACCTGTCGCTGTGCGGGCGGAGATTCCGTGTGTGACATCCAGACTGGAGTCTGCTCTAGTGGAGGGTGTGAGGCCGGGTGGAATGGGAGCAACTGTCAGACAGGTAATTGTAACCCCTTATTGTATCATGGTGCATTCGTCCACATACACATAAAAACAAGCATTGTATAGTTATTCTACAAGTCTGACATTTTCCGTATAATTTTTTTTTGCCGGAGGCCGCAAGGCTTCCGGCTTACCAAGAGTGCTTGGTGAATGCATATGGTACTTCGCTTGGTACGGCGACGGAAGTTACGCAATTCCCAACCGCAAGTTGCGCAATTCCCACAATGCCAATGTGATGCCATGCTATGCCATGACTCGGTGGATGGGTTGGGAAGTCTTGCACGGTTCCCAACTGAGAAACCGTTTATACCCTATGCCATGGCAATACGTCTGACAAAGGTTACATTCACAATATGATTTCACGTTAAAATGTCGCTCACGCGAGTCATAAACTGGCAAAAAACACGCACTGTTCGTCTGTCCATATATCATGTTAAATGAACCGGCAACTTGTACCGCCTATCCTCGCTAGGAAACATAACCATAATTAGTATGTGTGTTTGTGCGTAAATGCGGGTCTCGGATATATCCGGGATAACAGTACATGTCTTGTGTGCGGGTCCAGGATATATTCGGGATTGGGGTATTTCTCCGGCGAAAATAGCCGCGTTGCCGAACACGGAAGTGATTCCGCGCCGCTAGCGGCCGGAAGGGGTCAGGGGTCAAATTGCATTACGTAACCACTACGTACGTCATTTCCCGGTTAGATTTTCTCCGGCTGTCGCCGCCGAGAGCTTCCTTTTTACCTCCATGACCTTAATACTGCAGCAGAACTTCCGGTTTTTGTATCTTTTGTCCTGAACATGCTATGGTCTTGACTTTATTTCGGTAACAGATAGCTTTTCCTGTCAGGAATATTAGCGTGGGTTTCCTCCCCCTGGCAGCTTGTTCTAAAACTGCAGGGCACTTTCCGGCGATTAAATGTTTTTTTTTTCAGATCTTTATTAGGTATAACTCAATACAACGTATAACAACACATGGCATAATGTCAAGAGAGTACCGAACGTACATCGAGCATAGTAAGGCTTAAGTCCTAAACCATTAGTCTCACAGATAAAATACATCATGCTGGGAGCTTACTAAGGATTATCACTTTTACAATCAGTATTGTTAGAAATGAACATACAGTACATAGAACACTACAAACTAATATTATGTACGTCTTGTTTCAAGGTGGTAGATATATGTAACACGTTTTCTAAGTAATTCTGGATTATCTTTATATCTGAGCAATGATAGATAAATGGCATATTTTGCCAGAGTCACATAGAATTTCTTTCCAAAGAGTACAGAGGTTAAGTAACAGCTATGTTGATGTCTAGTTCAGAGAGAAGGTGTTTAATTTTTTCCCAATAATCCTCCAACCGTATGCATTAAAAAACATGTGTATATAATTTTCATCTTGGGTACATATATCACATTTGGGGCTATATGTGGTCCCCAAATTATTCAATATTTTCGACCTGTGAAGTAAAAATCTGCAAGGTAAAATTTTATGTAGTAATTTGAAGTTAAATTCTTTCAATCTGTTCTCTTTTAAATTTGAAGTTTGTGCTTTCCATATTTTTCCCCAATTCATTTGACCCCCCCCCCTCAGAACTCGCGAACGGTATGTCGTATGACCACCAAATTTTTAGAGGATTGTGAACTAGTGAAAATTTATCATATCTAGAATTTTTATGTCGTTATGACGTAATATGACGTAATTATGACGTCGTTAATGTGATTTTATTGGCCCAAATCGTCTAGTTTTTTCCCTGAAAACTAAATTTGATGACGTCATTGGCCAAAATCCAAGATGGCGGACCATATCATTAGAACAGGTATATACAGGTTATTTTCATTAAAATTCCATCAATACTTCCATTCCTTTTTCCAAAAAAGGTTTAAATGAAGGTCTTTAGTATGTTTAAAATGTATTTTAGGCTTTATCATGAAAAAAACCCAACTATTTATGAACATTCAAGATTGATGATCCAAGATGGCAGACATCTTAAATATGCATGACGTCATTTTATGACGTCATCAAATTAGCATAAAGTATGCCTATTTAATCATAAAATTTACATTAAATTATCTAGGATGTTATTAATATTAGAAACCATGAGTAACTTGACATAAAACCCGTAAAATTCTGTTGTTGAAACAAACACTAAAAAATTTAGCAAAAAATGCCTGCCAGAAACCCGGATTTTTTTAGCCAAGGTTTCTACTACTAAGTTAAATAAGAGAGCTGAAAGGGGACATCCTTGTCGAGTGCCCCGTTTCAGCTGAAAGAAGGCTGACTTCCAGCCGTACTTTGTTAAACAACATTCAATTTCAGTGTACATCATCTTAAAAAAGGAAAATAAATGGGGCCCAAATCCAAATTTCTCTAAGGTTTTTAGTTTAAAATTCCAGTTGACGTTGTCAAACGCCTTCTAAATCGAAATCTAAACAGATTACTGCACCTGGTAATTTGTAGAAATCACATTAGTAAATAACGTCTTGTGTTACTCGAACATTTTGTCCGATAAACCGAGATTTGAGGTAAGCTGTTTGGTCATGGGAAATAATTGATGGTAGAACTCCTTGCATCCTTTTTGCAAGGACAGCAGCTAACAGCGTGTAATCCGTGTTCAAAAGACTAATAGGTCTTCCAATTTTTTTAAGTTCTTTTCTATCTCCTTTCTTGAAGATTAGTTTAAGTATTGCCCTTTTTTGCGAAGTAGACATAATTCCCGTTTCAATAGCTTCATTCAGGGCAACATAAAGAAAATCAACTAAACTATCCCAAAACGTCCGATAGAACTCGGCAGGCAGTACATCCGGTCCTGGGGATTTATTTGCTTTCATATTTTTCAAAACTCCAATTTATTATTTTTTTCAGGGGTTGCTCCAACATTAACTTTTGATCTTCAGACAGCGTGGATTCTAGGAACAATTCAATCTCTTGGTTGGAGACTGGATTGTCATTAGCGTACAATTGTTCCTAAAAAGATTTTTCAAGCTGTAGAATTTTTTCTTGATCTGTTTCGTCGATGTCACCATCGGTCAATTTAGTAATGTTATTGTTGGCTGCTTGCCATCTTTCCATGTTGAGTAAATAAGAGATTGATTTCTCTCCAGGTTCGACACATGTTGCTCGTACTCTGATTTGTGCACCCCTGGCTTTTTGTTGGTATATCTTTTCAACTTCTAGTTTAATATTTGGGTAATCGTTAAGAATCATTTCATCTAAAGTTTCATCAATTTTTTTAAATCCAAATCTCTTAACTTTTTTCTAAATAAATGAGATCAACTTTCATTAAGGCAGCTTTTTGTTGACAATAGCAGATCGAGACAATAGCAGATCGTTCCCACAACAGCAGTTTTGAAATTTTAATATTTTCGTATTCGGATGTAACTTTTCTTATGCATTTTTTAATACCGTCCACATAATCCTGATCGGATAAGTATGTGGTATTTAAACGCCAGACACCTGGTCCACGTTTTTGTTCATTAAGCAGTATTTTTAGAAAAATTGACTTATGATCGGACTTTATGGACGGTCTAATGTCACACTTTTAAACAAATTCTATTAAAGATTTATGGATGAGCCAGAAATCAATTCTGGTAGAAACTGGGTCCGGATTTCTCCTTCTCCAGGTAAATTGTTTTGTATGGGGGTGGCATTCCCGCCATATGTCGACAAGAAACAAATTTTGTTTAAAGCTAATCAAGGAATTCCCACCTGTAGGTGTTTTCAGTGGACGCTTTGATCGCCTGCCCAAGTCATTTTATTAAAATCATTAAAGTCCCCACCTGCTATCAGATTACTGATGCCGTTGTCAGTAATCCAATCGCAGAGATCGTTGACAAAAAGAGCTCTTTCGGTACGATCATTTGGGGCATACACATTTAAAAGGGAACGATCCTGCAATTTAACAATCAATTTTCTACCATCATGTCCTTTTACAACATCGACAACATGAACATCAAGTCCCTTTCTAAATAATACTGAGACTCCTCTGCTATGAGCACTACCAAAATCATGAAACTGTAAACCGCTCCAGTCCTGATCAAGTTCACATTTCTTATCGGCTGTATAATAAGTCTCTTGTAAGGAGTAAATGTCTGCTTTTTGCTGAATTAACCATTCATTCATGTGTGTCGCTTATGTCTATCACGTAAACCACTGACATTTAAGGAAAGAAGGCTAAGTGTTGAGGCCATGAAAATAAGGATAACTTACGGTAGCAAGAGTCTCAACATTTAGAAAGTTTGTTCATACTCCCGATCTGTCGCTGTCAAACGAGGCGTCGGAGTGACTTACAAGGTCACAGTCTCCAGAAGTACTCCGCGAACGTCCAGCCGCTAGAAGTCCGTCTATGCGTCGGCCAAGGTCTCGGCTTTCGTTGGTTGTCTCGTCGGGAGGTTGTCTCGTTTACTGTTGTAAGCAGGATTCTTCACAGAACTTCTTGTTGCCATGGTAGTAGTTTCAGTGGTTCGTTGGTTTCTTTTCATATTTCTGCGTGACTTCTGTGCGACGAAGTCAGTGATCTGACTCTGTTTTCCTCAGTCTTGTCTCTTTTTCGCAGCCAAATCGATGTCGTCAGCATGATCAGGAGGGCTGGGGGTAAGTTGGACGTAAGCTGTGTTGATCAGGTTCTGGATTTCTCCACCATCTTCTAATTTGCATAATCAATGTGAAAATTCTGTGAATCCTTATTGATGAATGATGGGAATTTTATACCTCGTAACATGTGTGTTACTTAAAGGTTTGCACCGCTGTGCATATGTTATGTTAATGTAGAGGTATTTGCATAATCAATGAGGACAAAACAAGCCCTTGTTTCATGGAGGTACGAGATCTTGGAACTCTTGTTGTTTTTAGTGTCTTTTTGGCGATAAATGTCAGCATTTTGGCCTCCGGCCAGCTTTTTTTCAGAAGCTTTCTTGTTTTCTCTAGCATGCATAGTCGGACGGTTTGGACCAGGCTGTACCGGCACCTGTCGCTGTGCAAACGAACCTTTCATGTGTGACATCCGAACTGGAGTCTGCTCTAATGGAGTGTGTGAGGCTGGATGGAAGGGGAGCAACTGTCAGACAGGTGATCACATTAACCCTCAACAGTACACCTTCCCGGACTGATTAATCTGTACACCTGGGGTCCGCGCGGACCCCAGAACAGTTTTTTGCTAATTTTTAGAAATTATCAACATGCTACCAGCTGAATTGTTTTGCAAACTGATGTGGGAACCTCTGTGTCCACATTGCAAACAAATATCATACATTTTGAACTTTTTCTATTTTTTGGTGAAGAAAAGAAGACAAGAAGAAATACCCGATTTTTAAACCCATTTCAGACTGAAGGGGCTTTTGAGGCCCAACTTTGATCTCAAATAGCGGCTAAACGGCTTGCGCTAGAAGTATCAAATTTGGAGACCTTTCCTAAAATGTCTCTGGAAAAAAGTTCATATTAGTTTGATACTAGTAAATTGATGTTTTTTTGTGTTGCCATGGCAACGGGTTTCTATTTTTCAAAATAGAAGTAATTTTGGTTTAAACATAAAAATTTTCTGAGTTTTATATTAAATTACACTTCTTTTCCAACATTAATAACATCTTACATAATTAAATATAAGTTAAATCATTTAATATGCATAGGATATGCTAATTTGATGACGTCATTGGTCAAAATCCAATATGGCTGACTATATTATTAGCTCTGACGTCATATGACGTCATAATTACACCAAAGTTATTAAAATTTAATTCTATTACTACAACATTCTCTGAAAACTTGGTAGACATAAGATGAGTGCATAAAAACATATAAAAACGGAAATAAGGTAATGTATAAGAACGCCAGTGTATCCATTATGATCGAAAGCCAGCTGGGGTCCGCGCGGACCCCAAAAGAAAATCAGATATAATTTTTTTTTATAAATGGTAGAAACGGAGTTTTCTGCACTGTATGGAGAGACAACTTTGTGGGTGACAATTACCTAAAATTTCAGAAAAAAATCTTTAGAAACAAAAAAGATACTACAGAATATATAGTGCTGGGGTCCGCGCGGACCCCAGGTGTACTGTTTAGGGTTAATTTTTGCACATTGTAATCTGGTAGTAATTGCAGAAGATTAAAGTAAGTGTTTAAAAACAGTATGACACATGTAAAATGCGATTTTTATTTCGTTAATTGCAGCCTGCCCGCCCGGTGAGTTTGGACAAGGATGTACCGGCACCTGTCGATGTTCAAACGGACCTTCCGTGTGTGACATCCAGACTGGTGTCTGCTCTAGTGGAGGATGTGAGGCCGGGTGGAAGGGAAGCAACTGTCAGACAGGTGATCGATTTGTCGCATTTGTGACGTGTGTGCCCAGGCATGGAGCAAGCAATATATGTTGATCTACAATATTAAAAATCTCTACGATAAAAGATCTACGATACACAAAAAACGTCTAGGGCATTCGGCCACTCTTCTTGGCTTAGCTAAGAAGAGTTGCGACTCTACTTTCATGCCAAATGCCATGATAATATGTATTGAAGAAAACAAGCATGTTTCTATCTTTTGGGGTATGTAGGTACGACTGACCTGCCCTACAACATAAGTTCCACAGTGGTTACAACAGACCTGCCCTACCACAACATGAGTTCCACAGTGGTTACAACCGACCTACCCTACCACAACATGAGTTCCACAGTGGCTACAACCGACCAGCCCTACACTAACATGAGTTCCACAGTGGCTAACACCGACCTGTCCTATAACAACATGAATTCCACAGTGGCTACAACCGACCTGCCCTACACTAACATGAGTTCCACAGTGGTTACAACAGACCTGCCCTACAACAACAGGAGTTCAACAGTGGTTACAGCTGACCTGCTCTACCACAACATAAGTTCCACACACATTACACTCGACCTGTCCAACAATAATATGAGTTTCATTCCCCCTAATATATTTAAGAACCAAAGCAACCTCCACCACGTCAATTTAAGCAACAACCAGATTTCCACCCTTAACGGGAGCATATTTGCACCCCTAGTCAATCTGGAAGTCCTCGATCTCAGCAATAACGTCATAGCAATTGTCACAGCAGATGCTTTCAGCAGCCTGTTCAACCTCAAGGTGATTGATCTTTCAAAAAACTCTCTCACAGATCTGCCGGACAACACGTTTGTACACAACATTAATCTGGAAACCCTTCATCTAGACGGAAACAACATCTCTGTCATTAGACAGGGCACTTTCAATGGTCTGAGCTCCCTTAGACTACTCTTCCTGAATAACTCTGGTTTATCTATCTTACATTCGTCAAGTTTTGCACCTCTGAGAAGTGTCGAGGAGATTTACCTGCAAGGCAATGGCATTAGGTACTTGCCAGTGAACACTTTCCAAGGGTTAAATCGTTTGACCTTCGTGAATTTACAGGGAGTCATCTTCGGGTCATTTACGTGCGATTGTAACGTGCTGAAGCCTCAGATTTGCATAGGATCAAACGTGCAATCTGTTAGCTTTAACTCCTCCATTACTTGCCGTAATGAAACACTTACTTGCAATGCACGTAGCGTATCAGAGCATTGCGAGCAGCATAAAGGAGACAGTCACGTGTTTGTTGTCATTCCTGTTGGCATCTTTCTGGTGACGGCACTGTTACTAATGTATCGGTACCGGACATACATACAGGCGCTGCTTTACACAAAATGCCACTGGTGTCCTTGTTGGAGAGCGGACAATACAGGTAAAACGTACGATGCTTTTATCTCCTACAGTATCGAAGATCAGAATCTTGTTGTACGTGAGCTGGCACCCGGATTGGAGGAGCGAGGTTTTGAGCTTTGCCTGGACTACCGTGATTTTCCTGCAGGGGCGTGCATAGCAACCACTATCTTAGAGTCGGTTGAGGATAGCCGTCAGACCATCATCATCCTCTCACAGAGTTTTGTGGACAGTGAGTGGTGCGCTCTGGCATTTAAAGCAGCGCACCTACAGATGTTAAAGGACAAGCAACCTAGGATTGTGGTTATCGCCATATCAGATAGAAAGCTACAGCGGGTAGATAAAGACCTGCAATTCTTTCTGAATACAAATGAATGTCTGAAGTGGGGAGAACCTCATTTCTGGAGAAAGCTGACCTATGTCTTATCTAGGGGAAAGCATAACCATGGGGATGGGGAAGGGGCTATCATTCAAGATATTGAAATGGCCAGATTTATTTGACACGTTTAACTTACATATGGATTTTGCCTCCACTAACAAACTGGTAAATTAAAGTAAAATTAAAACAAGAAGCCATAGGCGACAATTCTCCGTGAAGTATTATATATTGCAACAAAAAGAAGTAGCCATTGGCGACAATTCTCTGTGAAGTGTGATAAATCGAACAAAGAAAAATTGTTTAAACGCGCGTCGGCTCAGTCATCTTAAGACGCAACAACCAATCAGAGATGCGAAATGCCGACACGTGACGCGGGATTTGCATACAGTCTAAACAACGGGAAGGGCGCGCGATGCCCGAAATATTTTTGCGTCAATATTCAGCGCCGTGATTCAAGAGATTAATACCCGGAAACAATTTCTTTTCTTGTTTTGAACGCATAAACATGCATTTACGCTAATCTAGTATGATTCAGGGTTACTTTTTTTTAACCTGCCATGGCCAGATTATCTAAATATGTGTGTATTGTGTGTACAATCTACAGAAAGAGAAATGTACATCAGGTCCGATCATCCGATTTTCACGTTTCGGTTTTTGGACTCGGTTCATGAACGTATTTTGGTTTGGCTCCTGGAATGTGCGAAAAAAATAACTCCCGGGACTGTCTACAGGGAACACTCGCACATTCGCGGTGTATCAGGACAGCGCGACTGGTCGGCATTAGCGCAGTCCCTGCAATTAGTAACAGTTGCACATCAATCCGGCCGAAAGCATGATTGTGTTACACAGGCTACTTCTTCATATACCGGCTCATACTACAAGACGCCTTTACAACTAGCAAATCATAAAATTACCCGATCTACTAGTATGTGCGGTTTACCAGCCCCAGACCACATCCGACCACGAGGCAGAACACATTGATGGGTTGCTCAAAAATATTGTCCATGTTTACAAAGAGCTGCTCCACTAACACTATGGAGCGGCCCAACCCAAAAATATTGGCCATGTGTACAGCATGCTCGTTGCTAGGACGACCGGCCAGTTGCTACGTGACTAAATACACGCCGCCACTAGGTCGCCACAGCCGACCAGTTCGAAATCGATAGGATTACGTCATCGGTATTTACATTTCGTAATGCTGACCACTGACCACCCCACATTTCCGTCCCCATCAGCTACCGGTCTCATAAACGGACGAAAACATTTCAAAGAAATGGGAATGTTTCGAAAATAAGCATTTACTCCAATATCAAAACAGCTACGGTAAAAATAAAAAGACGTGCATCATCCCGGACATAATGCCACACCACATGCGAAATTACACAGAAATGCGACGTACGGAAGAATGCGTTTTGGCTGCGAACATCTTCCAAAAAACTTGGCATCTCTTAACCTTGGGCAAAAACATCTGGAACCACTTATCAAAACCACCCCGTATCTGCATGAAGTTCCACCACCCCCCCCCACTGCTATTCCAAACAACGCGTTTTTCTGGACCATTCCAATTCGCCTCGTAATTGTAGGGGTGCGTCTGCAATATAACATTGACCGCGAAAGCAGCAACGGCAAAAATACACATTCGTGCATCAACACGGGCATGCCCGCAGACGGCGTATAAAATTGCATGCCGATTACACAAAGAGAACCCAGTGTTTTGACTGCGAACATGAAAAATCAGCCGATCACAACACTCCGTCCGGAGGTACCTCCTGACCTCCTTCACGGAGTAATTAAAGTATTCATGAAATTCTAAGGAAAATAACCCGTATAAACCTGTTTTTATGATATGGTCCGCCATCTTGGATTTCGGCCAATGACGTCATCAAATTAGCATAAATTATGCATTTTTAGTTATAAAATTTACATAAAATTATCTGGGATGTTATTAATATTAGAAACCATGTGTAACTTGACATAAAACCCATAAAATTCTATGGTTGAAACTAAAATTACTAAATTTAGCAAAAAAATGCCTGTCAGAAACCCGTTGCCATGGCAACACAAAAAATAATCATATTATTCCAATGATACAGAATATTTTAGGAAAAGTCACCAAGTTTGGCCGTTCTAGCGCTAGCCGTTTCGACGCTACGTGACATCAAAGTTGGCGCGGGCACTTTTACCCCCCCCCCCCTAGATAGGGTTAAGGAAGAAAATACGAAAATGTATAAACACTTTGAGAAGAACATTACATGTGTAATATTTGGGTCCTTCAATTAAGACTCTGGTTACTGTATCTTAAATAGGTTAAATTGAAATTAAACACATTTGAATATTTTAAGGGTCATTAAGGGCCATTCGTGCAATGTAGCATTGTTATTTGTATATTGCTTCAGCGCCTACATGTATTTTGTCAAATCAAGGTTAATAGCACATTGACTGTATACATAATAGGTAAAATGTGAAGAAATCTGTTATAAACAACTGACTACTGAAAAGGCTGTATAAGACTTCTTGCTAATTACAGGAAATTATTGTAATTAACATATTCTAAGAAAGACCATATTAAGTATAAGTGTAAGGCAGAGTGTTCCATAGGACAACTAACTAGCTATACATAGACCTAGGCATATATATTCATACTATATTGACAGAGAACATAATCAAACGCTGTGTATAGTTGACTTATATTATCATCTTGATTTTTTGCATGGATGTAACTAGTATCAATTTATCATTTTCTTTAAGTTAGAAATCGCATTTGACATGCAGGACATAGTGCTTAACGGGTTAGTATATTATTGTGTCGAACATTCAATACGGTGTGCCTGGCCAATTCTAAATTTTGCTGTACTAGCTATAAAGTATTTTTCTCGGACGGACAAGAGATAATATTCAATGCAATATTTTATTACTGAATTACTGAATACTTTTTTCCTCTTCGTTACGACGCTCTTTGAACATGTTTCTGAAATAATTGGCATCGATTTTAGGGTTCAGCAAAATGTTTTGGAATCGAATATTTTGCGTCATACATCCTGTATATAGAAAACAATATTGATTTTATCCAACGATTTTATGATGCGATTTCTTTTAAATATTTCTGTTCTTGTGAATGTTATTTAATCTTATTTAAATCAGTTTATGTATGTATAGTGGAATTCAAAAATAAAACTAATTCACCCCTTACAGAAAAAAAAACAGAGCTTCTGGTATATTAAAATCCTTGTCCTGCGGGGCC